TTTTTTTAATATAGTTAATTTTTTTATTGTGGTAAAATATACATACCATAAAATTGACTATTTTAACCAGTTTTAGCTATGCAATTCAGTGACACTAACTATATTCAAATTGTGCAACCATTACCACTAACCCTTTCCAGAACTTTTTTATTATCTGAAACAGAAACTATATCCATTAATCTGTAAGTCCCCATGGCTTAATATTTAAAAAATAAAAACAGCCAAATGAGAGAAAGAATGAAATGCGTAGGCTCTTAAGAAACCAGACAAAAATAGGAACAATTTTGGTCCCTGAAGACAGGAACCAAATTACTTACAAGGTAATGTGGACTTATAAGGAACTTATAAGATAATCAGATGTCCTAAGAGGATTGTCTCTGTAAGGCAGTGGTCCCCTCTCTTCCTTATTTGGTGTATTACTTACACTCAAACATTTTATATTTAATTTAAACCAGTGCTTGCTTTGTGAATAAAGAAGTCGTTCAACTGTATGTGAAGCTTTGGTGTCCTCATGGGTATAGTGGGACATCTCATAAGCCTTATGGGGCTGTTGCCATGATGAGTAATGAATAGAGGAGCAGCAGCCAGTACAGCACTCAGCCTATGGGACTCTTGTACTGACACTTCTTATTGTATGTGTGTGGTCTTTTCAATCCATGAACATATGACACCTGGCATATTTCATTCCTCAATGGGTGGGCAAGTTGAGAAAAGACAATGGAAAGAATATCCTTAATGTGAAAACTGCAAATTTCAAGTATGAGTTTATGAGCTGGAACGACAGCTGGTAATCATCATTGTTTAGAAAAGGAATAAAATAAACTTTAATGATATCAATATTCATTTGGCATGAACATATAATAAAATATATAGCAATTAAAATGAAGTAATTAAAATGAATTGAATAATAAAATAGATATCGAACCAATACAAATAATGAAAACCTACAAGAGAAAAATTTTTGTATAACAAAAGTCTACAGCAAGAGAGTATTAAAAATATATATATTGAAACTTTCAGGTAATAATCTGATAAAAATAAACCTATATGTGTTTTTAAGTTATAAATTATTAAAGAGTAACAAAATAAAGAAATAACAATGGAGTGTTAGGTTGATACCAATCAACCACATAAAATGCACACACATCACCATCCTCATTGTAGATGCATTTATTGCAAAAAATACAGATATGTGTAAAGTCCCCACATCATAAATTTGCACAATCTTGATTCTTTTCCTTCTATACTAACTTCATATACATTATTCTGCAATTTTTAATATAATTAGTATTATCATTCCATGAACAATTGCATTCTTTTCCATTTTAAAAGATTATATAAAAGGAACCAGACAGTACATGTCATTTACAGTTGGCATTCTTCTACAATTTATTTTTTTATTATGTTGATATATTTAGTCCTGAAACATGAATTTTAATTACCAGAGAATATTATACCATATTATTACATTGCAATCTGTTTCTCCATTCCCTAACTGATAGTGTTATGGTTAATGCTTTTAACCTGTATATGTTCATGAAGACACATACAGTACAAAGTGCTGCGTGGGAATATACCAGCACATTCAAGGTGCTATTGTCTCTGAGAAGGGAAGAACAGGAAAGGAGTGGGATAAAAAGAGGAGCCTTCTTTCTGCACATATATTATTTTTTTACTTTATAAAAAGGACCTGATGTTGATATAGCAGAATGTCAACATTTATTAGTTCTGAAATGAGCTGAAGATAGGTATGTAGTTTTTATTATATAATCTCTGCTGTTCTTATATAAAATATTTGTTAATTTTCTAAAGAGAAATAAGCATACTAGGAAGGTAGCCAGCTAAATCCTCTGTCTCCACTTCCTCTCCAGTACTCTCAAGTCTAGCTGTAGAGATAATACAAACACTTCTGTACAATGATATATCAAGAACCAGGAATGGAAATAAAGGGAGAAGCTGATCAAACTCCTTCCCCACAATTGCCACATGAATTCAGGTAAATGTCAGAAAGTTTTGTAACAGTCATTATGTTTGAGAAGGAGCAGATTTCTGCTCGTGAGAAAAATGGGTTCTGCCATTTTTTTCGAGAGAGAGAGAGTTTAGGAGACCAGCAGAGTGAGAACTAGATGATCATGGGTACAAATATACATGAGAATTTGTCAACAAGAAGGCAGTTAGGGAGGAGTCCCTGGGACATTTGGTTCTGAATATTTTATGCATGTACTCTTCTCCTTGCTTCTCTCGATGATATTGTAGTAAAACACCTGCCCTCATTTCTGAAGTGTTAACTAAGGAAGTTTAATTACTTGGCTGGCATCAGTGTGGAATGATGGTAGGCATGACACCCAGATATTTAAGATAGAAGAGCTGTCCATAGGAACGGCAGAGAGACCAAGTGTGGCAATGGGCTCCTGGTCAAGAAGGACCATGTCTGGGAGGAGGCTCAGGCACGCTGCCTCCTGACTAGGCAATGGCTGTGAGTGAGATTGTCACAAGCTGACTCTTTACAGTCTCTATATCCCTGGGGATCAATATCCAGTCTCCTCATTCGACAAACATTTTCAGAGTCCTTCTAATCTCTGGACAATGGAAATCTTTACAGGCCGAGACAATAGAAGAGTCTAATCCCTGACCCTCTTGGGCCAGGTATATACTATCCAGGTTTTTCTACCTGTTCATGCTTACCTTTATTTTATGTACTATGTATACATATACATAGAGTCTTTTCTAATGAATTCCAGGCTTTTTTTTTTAAGTTACAAACAAAAGCATTTCTATCAAATTAATGACATCAGAAAGAATGATTCCAATTTTAAGTGTACTGAGTGTAAATAATATGTTTATAAATATACTTAAGGCATTGTAAAATTCAAACACTTGGGGGTATTTCAATTTTAGTCATTGAATGTTTCCTGCTTCTTAATTTCTATTCTCCATATTTTACACAGCAGAATCTGATATATTCTCTATAATCAATTATGACTGTGATTAATATAGACAGAGTTCATGCCCTTTTTTAAAACTATTATAACCACCTTTTATAATTTTCATACAATAGATTCAAAGTATATTTTTCTTCACATTGGAGGACTTTGGATTGAATTATGGTTCTTCATTTTTAGTTTTTTTAATAAAATACAATGTCACTGAAAGATAGTACTGAACAGTTTTGTAAACAATCCAGTAGATTTCATGGATCAAGACTGCCTACCTTAGCTAAACGTGAAAAGCTTTCTCCTTTTCTTTCTTTCTTTTGCTCTGGCATTGGCCTGCAAAGATAACACCATTATCTACATTTCCTAGGAAATGGCTAAGGGATAAATGATAAAATTTAGAACAAGTTTTTTTATTATTCTAATAATTTTTTAACTTTAAATTATAGTTGATATACAGTATTAAATTAGTTTCAGGTGTACAATATAGTGCTTAGACATTTATATAACTTATGAAGTGATCACCCTGATAAGTCCAGTACCCATCTGACACCACAGTCATTACATTACTGACTATATTTCCTATGCTGTACCCAACATCCCCATGACTGTTTTCAAAAATGGCAGTTTGTACATCTTAATCTCTTCTTCTTTTTCACCCATACCCCGCAAACACTCTCCCATTCAGAAAACATCAGTTTGTGCTTTGTATCTATGAGTCTGTTTCTGTTTTGTTTGTTTAGTTTTTTAGATTCCACATATAAGTGAAATCATATGGTATTTGTCTTTCTCTGTCTGACTTATTTAGCATAATACCCTCCAAGTCTATCTATGTTGTTACAAATGAAAATATTTCACTCATTTTTATGGATGAGTGATATTTCATTCTACATATGTACATCTTCTTTATCCATTTGTCTGTTGATAGGCACTTAGGTTGCTTCCATATCTTGACTATTGTAGATAATGTTGTAATAAACGTAAAACTGCATAAGTCTTTTCAAATTGGTGTTTTCAGTTTGTTCAGATAAATACTCAGAAGTGGATTTGCTGGGTCCTTCTTTGCCTCTTGGTATAGTCCTTGTTTTATTTATTTATTTTTTACATGACAATTGGTTTGGTCTTTTATTTTTTATTTTTTTTATTGAGTTTATTAGGGTAACATTGGTTAATACAACTATATAATATTCAGGTGTATATTATAATTTGACATCTATATATTCTATTGTGTGATTACCACCCAAAGTCCAGTTTCCTTCAGCTAGTATATTTTTGATCTTCTTTACCCACTTCACCTTCCCCCTACCCCCTATATTTGACCCCCTTTACCCTGTCTATTTGTTTTCTCCTTCCCCACCCGCTACCGTCTGGTAACCACTAGTCCATTGTCCATGTCCCTGAATCTCTGTTGGTCCTGTTCATTTGTTGCTTTTAGGTTTGTATCCCACATATAAGTGATATCATGTGATTTTCTCCTTTTTCAGTCTGGCTTATTTTGCTTAGCATGGTTATGCTTCTTTAGCCAATCATCTATCATAGGATACTTCGGTTGCTTCCATGTCCTGGCCACTGTGAATAGTGCTGCTATGAACACCAGTGCGCAAATATGTTTTTGAATATGGGTTGTCAGGTCTTTGGGGTACATACCCAGTAGAGGGATGGCTGGATCATACGGTAGATCAATTCTTAGTTTTTTGAGGAATCTCCATACTGTTTTCCATAGTGGCTGTACGGATTTGTGGTCCCATCAGCAGTGTATGAGGGTTCCTTTTTCTCCACATCCTCTCCAGCATTTGTTATTGCTTGTCTTGTTGATGATAGCTATTCTAACAGATGTGAGATGGTATCTCATTGTGGTTTTGATTTGCATTTCTCTAATAGCTAGCGATGTTGAGCATCTTTTCATATATTTGTAGGCCATTTGTATGTCCTCTAGGGAGAAATGTGTGTTCAGGTCCTCTGCCCATTTTTTGATTGGATTGTTTGTTTTTTTGTTGTTGTTACTGAGTTTTATGAGTTTTTTGTATATTTTGGATAGTAGGCCCTTATCAGAGGCATTGCTTGCAAATATATTTTCCCTTTCAGATGTTTGTCTCTTTACCTTACTGACGATTTCTTTTGCTGAGCAGAAGCTTTTTAGTGTGATATAGTCCCATTCATTTAATTTGTTTTTACTTCCCTTGCCTTTGAGGTGAAATTCATAAAATCCTCTTTAAATCCAAGGTCCTTAGTCCTTGTATTAAAGTCTATTTTGTCTTATATAAGTATTGCTACCCTAGGTTTTTTTATTTCCATTTGCATAAAATATTTTTTTCCATCCCTTTACTTTCAGTCTTTCAATCTGAAGTGTGACTATGATAAACAGCATATGTATGGGTCTTGTTTCCTGATTCATATAGCCACCCTCTACCTTATGATTGAAGCATTTAATCTATTTACATTTAAAGTAACTGATATTACTTTAATATTGATAGGAATGTAGTTACTGCCATTTTATTATTCATATTTTTGCTCTTTTCTTCTTCTTTTTAAAAAAGTCCCTGCAACATTTCTTATATTGATGTGGTGGTGATGAACTCCTTTAGCTTTTTCTTGTCTGGAATAAAACAAGTTTTTATTATAAGTTGGAAGAAAACCTAACTGACACCTGGCTTGAATGGACAATTGTGCTGACAGGATTTGTCCTTGTCTGTAGTGGTTATCATTTTCCTTGGGCCCATAAATGCCTAGAATGCTGGTACACAGCTAGGCAGTGCCTCTTACATAATCTAACTGTGTTCCTAACTGTTCTAGAAAGGACTTACCAGAAGGCTTTCCATGAGTCAGAGTTTGTGGACATTGGCACAGACATATTTTCTGGTTAGAAATAGATACCAATGGGAATATGATCAGAGACCTTTCCTCCGCACCCAAAGCCATTACAAATTTTTTTGCTAAGGCATCAGCTGCCCAGAAAAGGTCCTTGGACTCTCTGACCAAAGTTGTTCTTGCTAGTAGAATAGCTCTTCATTATCTTCAGCTGAGCAGGGAGGTATCTGTGCTGTGGCCAATATCACCTGCTGTCTCTGGATCAAGGATTCTGGGGGAGTTACATAAAATCAGTTACATAAAACCAGTGGCTTAAAAGGATGACTCCTTCAACAGGATTTTTTCTTTTCTTTTTTATTGGTTTGGGTCTTGGATACTATGGCTCCAAAGTGCCCTGCAAACACTGGGCATTATCTTGTTTATAGTTACCATAATAATCTCCCTGGAATTGTATTCTCTCAAAAGCTTTAAATGCATGTTTGCAGCTGCTAACTGCCAAGCAAATGATCTTCCAAAGACGGTAATGTCAAAGAAGAGACAAGAGAATGACCAACTTCTGGATCATGCACCTGGAATTGTGTCCTGTGAATGTCATGGATTAAGCAAAAATGCTAAGAGAGCTCCAGGGAAGTCACTGAGAGTGACTCTATCACTTTAATTTTTTATCACATCTCTCAATTAAATTGGGAGTATGAGCAAAAGGGGAAACTGTTAAAGAAAAAATCTGCGGGCCCAAAATGATGTCACTATTGCTAAAGCTTATGATATCAAACCTAGATTTAATCCTCATCTAATTGTAGTTTGAACCTCTCCCAGAAACATAATCTTAATCAATGAGTCTGGAATTTTCTGGTCAAGTGCCAATAAAGTAATCTGTCACTGTGGGCCTTCTCCATCCTCCATAGAAAGAAGAGGCAATCTGTAAAATAAAAAACATTCTCCCTCTCCTCTCCCAAAGAAAAGCTGTCCTGGACCAAGTATAATCCTGTCTTTCCCTTTGCTAATAGCTCCTTTGCCCCTCCCTTCTTCCTATAAAAATCTTCCATTTTGTACAACTCCTGGGAATGCCCTTCCAGTTGCTATCTGGGATAAATTGCTTAATCAAAGCCAATTATATCTTTAAGTTTACTTTGTCAAATTTTTTTAACAGCCATAAGGGGGAAGGCCAAAGCTTCTTTCTGAGGCTTCTAGGCCTTGGTTGTTTTCAGCTTGAAATAATTTATATTCCAGAGTGGCACATCTTGAGGTGACTCATTCTGAACCCCTATGGTAATCAAAATGTATGGTTCAAGAGCTCAGTAAAAAATAGAACCAATGAAACACACACACATATGAAGATTTTATTTAGGACATAATCTTTGAACGATTTGCTTATGACAATACGACACTGCAGAAAAAAGATGGTGCCATTCAATAAAAATAATCTTGAACTCTTAAAAATCTTTAGTTTGTAGTATTCAAAGTATTTAATCAATACAAATTGCTTAACAGGGAATTTGCTCTGTTGAGTGTGAAGTCTTTGCTATGTAAGATTATCAGGATAGTTGGTAGAGGAAACAAGGCCTTAATTTGACAGATTCTTTACCTTTCCAAATTCATGATGGCTGATTGCCTCACCCTGAGAGACCAAGAGAATATGCTTTTCTATTTATCTCTGAAAATATGCCTCTATCTATCTATCTATCTATCTATCTATCTATCTATCTATGTCTATATCTATATCTATATCTATAATCTATCTATTTAAGGTGTACAAGTGTACAACATGATGATTTGATATACATACAAGATAAAATTATTCATATGGTAAAACTAATTAACATATCCATCTCTGCACCTAGTTGTGTGTGTGTGTGTGTGTGTGTGTGTGTGTGTGTGTGTGTGGTGAGAGCACCTGAAATTGAGGCTGAGGCTAGTCCTCTGACTATAATGATTAGTTCCTTCCAAAACTCTATCCTCCTTCTGTCATTAATATTCTCCTAAGAACATTCTCCTTAAACTCACTATACAAAGAATCCCTTATTTAGGTTCTGCTTTAATGAAATCTGACTGAAAAACCAACCTCAGAAAGTTCACATCAATTGTGAAAAATCCCAATGTTAGAGAAGACCTAAGTCGATTTTCAAACCGAAGTTGAACAAACTTTAGTTATTATGGCAAAAGAACTTGGTGAAGGAAGAGTGAGACATTCTGACTCACCCAGTATTCCTTTAATTTGACTCATGTAAAAACCCATGCCCTCCCCCCAAAAAAATTTTTTAATAAATTAAAAAAAAAAAAACCATGACCAAAGCAGATGATGCAATAACCAAAGAAAAAAATATATGTTCTTCAGATAAGTTTCCTCAAGGCTCCCTTCATGTCCCTGTTCCTCAGGCTGTAGATAAAGGGATTCAATATCGGGGGAACCACAGTGTACATCACCGAGGCTACTGCAGCCTTTTTGGAAGAATGGTTAACTGCAGAATTAATGTACACTCCAAAAGCTGTGCCATAGAATAAGCAAACAACTGAGAGATGAGACCCACAGGTAGAAAAGGCTTTATACTTTCCCCCAGATGATGGCATTTGCAGAATGGAGGAGACAATTTGAATGTAAGAAAAAATAATTGCAAAAAGAGGAACACCACCCAATATGCTACTCATTAAATACACCAGGATGTTATTGATGAAGGAATCAGAACAAGCCAGCTTGATGATCTCAGCAAGGTCACAGAAAAAATGGGGGATTTCCAGGTCTATGCAGAAGGACAGTCGCAGCAACAGGAGACTATGGAGTAGAGCATCTGCAGTGCTAATGATCAGAGAGAGTAGAATAAGAAGACTACAGAGATGGAGGGTCATGATGACCATGTACCTGAGTGGATAGCAGATGGCTACATAACGGTCATAAGCCATTGCTGCAAGGAGAAAGTTTTCCAAACCTGCAAAAAACCAGACAAAGCCAACTTGGGTGAGGCAGCCTGTGTAACTGATAGATTTGCTCTGTCTTTGGATGTTCACAAGCATCTTGAGGACGGTGGTGGTGCTGAAACAGATGTCAGTGAAGGACAGATGGGAGAGGAAGAAGTACATGGGAATGTGCAGGTGGGAGTCTGAGCTGACGGCCAGGATGATGAGCAAGTTCCCAAGCACAGTGACGAGGTATATGGTCAGGAATAAACCAAAGAGGAGGGGCTGCAGTTCTGGGTCCTCTGAGAGACCCAAGAGGAGGAATTCTGCTGTACCTGATTGGTTTTCTGATTCCATGTTGTTGATGAGTCTGATGAGAAAGACACATGTGATAGGACACATAACAGATATACAGGGATCCTTATTTTAGAAAACCCTGATATCTATATTGTGAATTGAAGCAAATATTACTAATCTTTCCCTTTCTGTCTCTCTCCCTTCCTTAACCTCTTTTTTTCTCTCCTCCTCTCTCCTACACTACACAATTATCCAAATCTTATTTACTCTCTTCCCACATTGGGCCAACTAACAGGAACAAAATAGGAAATATGACACTTTTTCCTTAAGAATTCTCCAAAGCTTTAAATTAGCAAGCAGAAAAAGTGAAGCCAAGCATATTAATTCTGGGTTTTAGAGCAGAGTTTCTCAAATCGTATTTGCATCAGAAGCAATTGGAGGGTTGGTTAAAACCCATATTGCTGGCTCCACACTCAGATTATGGGATAAAGAAAATTGGGCATAGGGCTGAAAATTTTCCTTTTTAACAAATTTCCAAATGTCACTGTCGCTGGTCTGGGTTTTATGTTGAGGACCACAGCTCATTGCAGGCATGGAAAATCAACTTGTCTACAGGTTGGAGCAGACCCAGCATAGTTAATGAGGAAAATGGTGGCCTCATTCATCAATGCTCTGCAGAGTGAGCTGGCTGGGAGGTCAAGTCCATGACTCAGTTAAGTCTCTCCATTTTCAATGCATCATCAAAATCTGTCTTTTCAATGCTCCATTTTCATTTCACAGTTTCATCATTGGGTTCTTATCACAAAACTCTTGCTATAATTTTTGTAATTAATAATAGTATTAGCATGGATTATGCAAATAAATATAATAATTATTATAAACTGCTCCCACTACCACTATGACTTATAGCTTCTACTGCCAGGCCAGGTTCTCATTACTTATTATACTAATTAATTTTATTCTCTCTACTGACCTATGGGTCAAGTGCTTCTACCATACTCCTGTTTACCCATGACCTCATATAAAAATAAAGGTCAAGTGAAGTGAAATTATGGATACAAAATAGTTGACACTCCAGTGAGAGGTGGTGAAGGCATTTGAACTCAGGCTTTCAAACTTTGGAGCTGAACTCATATCACTACGTAATGCACACTCTGAGTAGTACAGGTTTAGATATTCTGAAGAACTGATAGGATTCCATCACTTGACTTTTGAAAATTTCTACCCAAAGAGTTGCAAGTATTTTCCCTTCTAATCTCTGACTTCATAGGTAGCATCCAGCAGGTAACAGCAATAAAACAGGACCCACACTAGAACCTGAAATGAAGATTAGAATACGGTATTTGAAACCTTAAGCCAATGATTATTATGTCAATGAGATTCTCTTTTTACAATAGTAGAACATTAAAACATTTTCATAAAGCAATATATAGCACATCTCTGGATTTTTTTCACCAAAAGAGAAAAACTGGAGGAAGGAGGAAATGCATGGTATTTTGAAAAGAATGAAAAAAAATCAAAAAAAAAACAATTGGTTAGTGTGTTCAAAGCAGAATCCTCAGATGAGAAAGATAAAATCTACCAACACAAATGTCCAGGCTGCTTGACAAGAGTGTTATAGTAGCAGGAAGAAGGAGAAATTGAGACAAGTATATCTGATACCTCAAATGCTCTTATTGTTGTGGGACTTTAATCAATACAAATGGGAGCCTAGCACCTGGTGAGTATGAAGTACTTATTATTAAGATGATCATGACAATTGAATGAAAATGAGACCTTATTTCTAGAAAGTACTTACCTTCTCCAGCAGAGACAACAAATACACACCCACACATGCACATGCAGCAGTGTATAAAATAAACACATGCACAATCTTCTGTGTAACTGCCGGCCACGTTCTTACATGAAAAACAGTAGAGAGACTATGTAAAATTTCAAATTTAAAACTAACAATAGTCATAAATATCTCCACTAATCGGTAATTACTTCTAAAATCTATTTTTTTCTTTTCTTTTATCCTTTTCAAGGTAGCCCATTGAGTTCTGTCTCTTCTTTCATTTCCTCTTTTTATAATAGATAATGAAAATAATTAATTCCTTGCTCCTTGGCAGTTTTTTGATTCTCTATTGCTTTTATTTTTTATTTTTGGGCACTTCTGTCTCTGTGTATAATAAACAGATAATTTTAGGAAAAGAAATGATGAAAGTTCAGATTATCTATGTCCGTTATGCCCCGTCAAAGTCTTGGTCACACAGCCTTGGTCACTTTCTTCTGAAGGAAACCTCGGTAATATGTCAGGATCAACTCAAGGATACTCCTATTTCCTGTGTTATGGTGAGTTCCTGAGGATATTGTCATGGATCACGCAGGGTGAAATTGGTTACATCATGGGTGCTTCAATAGAGCTGCTAAACATTCTTATGAACCACTGTTTTAGAAAAAGTGTGTAAAGGTGTCTGTTACGTGAAAACTCATTAGCATGTTAATGTTTAGAACTGATGTCCCTAAAAAAACTCTGCTTTGACTCAGACATACCTGGGTTTAATTCTGGCTTCAGCGTTCTCTTTGTAAACAAGGAACTCTTTTTCAACTGTGTGAGAAGCCTCAGTCTCCTCTTTTGGATAACAGGAATCTTCATAAAATCTTATTGAAAATGTTGCAAGGATGAGCAATGAGAAGACAAAATCACCAAGCACAGTGTTTGGTATATGAAACACTCTAAATATTTCTTAATGAGATTTATTTCTGCCTTGGACACAACCAAACCACCTAGCATGGTTCATTATAGAAGGGAAGTGGTGGATGGAGCAAGGCGAAGGAGGAGAGGGGCAAGAAACATCTTTAGCATGGCAACCATAAATTTCAGGAGAGAATGGATGTGCTCTATCTCCTTCTGGGGATCTTGCTTATAGAGAAATTGGAGTGAACAACCAAAACAAACATTAATAATTAATGTTTATTTTAATGGACATGATAATGCATATAGCAATTAAAATGAATAAATTAGACCAAGATGTATCAACACAAATAACAAAATCTCAAAAGAGAAAAGTAATATGCCTAACAAGACATCTACAATATGACAAAATTTAAATAGGTTTAAAATAAAACTTTTTATAAAACATTTCAAGTACACAAAAGTACAGAATAAACAATAAAGTTCTGGGTATCTGCCACTAGGCACTATTAAATTAAAATAGGTTGCCATATTTGCATTAGATATTTTTAATAAATAAAATAATACATATTCATTTTTCCACTTCCTTAGTCACTTTTCCTTCCTCAAAGGAACCACTACACTGAACTTCATGTGCTCCTCTGGTTGCAATAATTGAGTGAGATTCTACCTGTAAAGATGTTCTTGATTTGCATTTTAAAACTTTGCACACTGTATATGGCATTTTGTGTTTGGTTTTTAACAGTAACATGTTTTATGTCTTGGTACATTTTTCTTTAGTTCATTAACTTTATCTTACCTTATTCCAATGTCTTATTATCTCACAATTTATTTGTTCATTCTCCAACTAAGTGGCATATTCCTTATGGCCATTTCACACACCACACATACATACACACACACACACACACACACACACACAGATGTGTAAAACAATTTAAACAACATGTGGAAGACTGCCAAATTCAAGACTGTGGTTGCATCAGGGGTATGTTGTATTTATTCATGTTATTTTATTACTTTAAGAAGAGAACTCTGATGGTAAAAATCAAGGTTTACAAATTTTGGCATCATGGACAGTTGCTTATTTGTTCTATCATTTTATACTGTCCTGCACTTAAAAACATTTCATAACTTATTGAAGAGAAACAGGTAGACTGGGCTGTAGTTTGGGGATCTGCTTCATTCTCCACCTCCTATCTCTCAGAACACTCATCATCAGGAAACAGCGTCAAAACCAAAGATCTCTTCTAAAAAGAAGAAGACAGAATGGATAGCAAAGGAGGTGCGACTTCATATCCCTTCCCCTTGACAAATTAAAGAAAATGTTAGAGGATTCTAGAGCATTCTTCAAAACTGAGCAAGAGTAGACTACTGTTGAAAAAGGAAAAAGTCCCTGGACTTTAGCAGAATGGGAGATTCTTCAGTATTAGTGCAAAGCTACAATCAAACAGGTAAAGAAGATGATGGACCATTAGGCAGGGACGTTGCAGGCAACCTACTTCTACTCTTTTTTTGCATGGACTCACCTGATGGCTACCCCTATATGGACTGGTAAACAAAAACCTGTCTCTATTTGCAAAACATAAAATAGGGGATCTCAGATTACCTGGAAGCCAACAGTAAGAAATGACATTCCCTTCTTCCCTAGAAGTGAAGGAGAAAATTAGAAGCTCTGTCCTCAGGAAGCACAGAAAGATGGTGAAGCACTGGACTCCTGTGCAGAAATGATCGTCTCTGGGACTAGGCTCAGGTGGGCTGCATACTGACCTGGGCATGACTGTTGAGTGGGGTGGTCACAGACAAACTATTTGCAGTCTCTGTGTCCCTGGGGATTTAATGTCCAAAGCTCCTCATTAGTCAAACTCTTTAACTCTCATGTGATCACAGAGCAGGACAAATCCTAGAGGAGCAAGGCTCAGAGATGAAGAACTGTGGTTTGGCTGATTCTCTCACCCTGAGAGGTCAAATGCATGCCATCTTCTTCCCTCCATCTTTCTTGACTCATATCCACCTAGTCTTCTGCATACCTCAACACATCTTCTTTCTGTTATTGGATTCTAGTCTTTTTTTTAAAGGGATATTTAAAGGAAGCCCTGTCCTAACAGTCATATCAGGAAGACTGGTACTATATTTAAGCTCATAACTTTAGTTTTTTATATGGGTAGATAAATATTACCTGTATAAATACATGTAATATTACAGTGACTGTATACTAAAAATGCATACACTAAGGGCTAATTCTGCGTATCACTCATTGAACATCGATTCTGCTTACATATATTATATTTGGCAGTCTCTAATATATCCTGTGTGCTTATTTTTTTACTTAAGTTTATTGAGGTATCATTGGTTAATACAATTATATAATTTTCAAGTGTACATTATA